AGAATGCTTGGCCGCAATATGGGCCATCAACAAATTTCGACCGTACCTTTTTGGTCGTGAGTTTGTCATCGTCACTGACCACCACGCTCTTTGCTGGTTATCTAACCTGAAGGACCCGACAGGAAGACTAGCAAGATGGGCTTTAAAACTCCAAGAATACAACGTAACAGTTGTTTATAAAAGTGGACGCAAACACCAAGATTCCGACTGTCTTTCTCGAAATTCTCTCCAACTTGAATCGGAAGAAGCATACAATGATGAGGATGATGATATACCCTCAATAACTGCTCTGACGTGCTTCGAGGCTGAACAAAGAAAAGACCCTAAAATTAATAAATTGATAGAAGAAACAGAAAGATTTGGTGCAGAATCGAAAGGATATGAAATGTTAAATGGAACCTTATACAAAAAGAATTTCGACCCCCTGGGAAACAAACACCTTTTAGTTGTTTCCGGGCACTTACGCTTAGAACTACTGAAAAGTTTACACGACGCTCCCACAGCAGGTCATCTTGGATTTTCGAAGACATATGAGAGAGTTAAAAACAAATATTTCTGGCCAGGACTTCTCCGGGACATACGGAAGTATGTCGCTCATTGTAAAGAGTGCCAAAGAAAGAAACAATCAACTCAAAAGCCACCCGGACTACTTAAGGCAATACCTCCTGCAACCTCCCCTTTTCAGAGAGTTGGAATGGACCTCCTTGGAAGACTTCCCAAGTCTGATACTGGTAATAAATGGACTGTACTGACTATCTTACTCGATTTGCCGTTACTAAAGCCTTACCCACAGGGGAAGCAAAAGAAGCAGCCAAGTTCTTAATGGAAGATGTTGTTCTCAAGCACGGAGCCCCCAGAGAAATCATCACGGACCGAGGACGAGTATTCCAATCCAAGTTGATTGCGGAACTCACCAATCAATGCTCGTCGATACATCGGTTCACGACAGCGTATCATCCCCAGACGAATGGACTTACGGAGAGGTTAAACAAAACCTTAGCCAACATGATCGCTATGTATGTAAGTGTTGAACAGAAGGACTGGGACGTAATCCTGCCCTACGTTACGTTCGCCTACAACACGGCAAAACAAGATACGACAGGTTTTACCCCTTTTAAACTGATTCATGGACGCGAAGCCGAAATAGCTGTAGACACTCTTTTCCCAAATTCGCATGAAGATCTCCAAGAGGATTACAGTCAGAAGATTGCCTCGCGAGTCGAAGAGACTAGGCAGCTAGCAAGATTAGAAACCTTGAAAGCCCAAGAAAAGGACAAGGCCAGATATGATTCAAAGCACGAGGCAATGGATTACAACGTTGGTGACCTGGTATGGATTTTCATCCCGATAAGAAAGGTGGGACTCTCAGAAAAACTGATGAAAAGGTACTTCGGGCCATACAGGGTTACTCGGAAACTCTCTGACGTGACCTTCGAAGTTGAACCTGTGGACCAACCAACCAGAAGACGCAAAACAAGAGACCTTGTCCATGTACTGAGAATGAAACCCTACCATGATCCTGAGGACCAAGCTGATCTGTTCAAGTGATAATTACAGCGGGACGCTGTTCATCTAGGAAGGGGGCAATGTCACTGAATAATTATTTTAAATATTCTGTGGTGTATCATCATTAATATTTGCATAGTCATCACTCCTTACGATTCTTATATATTTTACTTGTAAATAATTTTTTAGATATAGTTTTGCATTTTCTAAATAAACTATTTTTACTTAAACTTTTGTAATACTCGTTATCTCTACCGTGACAATATAAATGATTTTTAAAATTGTAAAAAAAAAATGCATCGGCCGGGAATCGAACCCGGGGCGCACGCGTGGCAGGCGAGCATTCTACCACTAAACCAAAAGCAAACGGTGACAGAATTAAGAAAGAATGCATGACGCTGATAACTGTATATATTAATTATGGTAGCATAATGAATTAGTCAGTATTCCCATGGTCTCCAGCGAAGAGGTGTGAATTGACTTTTTGAAAATATACATAATTATAAAGATAGAAGCTTCTATAGAAATAAGTAAAATGGCTCAGTTAGGAGAGCGTTAGACTGAATATCTGAAGGTCCCTGGTTCGATCCCGGGTTTCGGCATTATTTTTTAATTTTAAAATTTTTACTTACCGTAACTTGACACTTAGCGTGACATAATTGTGCATGACGCTGAAAACAGTATTAAATACTAGCGGATGTACCCGGCTTCGCCCGGGTTTTACCCGAGTGAAGGTTTGTCTAACGAACATTTGTTAAAACAATTCTCTATAAACTTATAAAAAAATAATAGATATATTTTGATAATTTGAAACTCGTAAATTTGAATCTTTCGATAAAGTGAACATTTTTTCCCGGTCCCTTGAAAAATACTCGATAACTTGAATAAAATCAATATTAATTGGTTCCCTCGGTAATTGAAAGTTAAAGGAATAGTATCTTGCCTTGGATTGTATCATTATTCTTGTCTCGAATAAATTGGCGGGTCATCCTGAATTTTGTCTTTCCTAATTTACTACATTACAAAATCATCATTTTATCTATTCTCCCAATATATATGTTGTAGATAAATGATAAAACTAACTTTGACTTGTACGCAATTAATAGGTAGAAAATCTTACTTTTGATAAATAATCATAATCATTTAGTTAACTCTACAAATCTGCAAATAACTCTAAGGATATTCAAGATATTCTAGAAATTAATTTTCACAAACCTTCCCGGGGATATACCTAATAATATCCCAAAATTTCACGGCGATTAGATGTATGGTTTTTGAATATATAGAGTACACACAGAAAGACATTCAATTTTCTATATATATAGACTAGCCGAATGACCCGGGCAACGCCCGGGGTTTACCGGATTAAATGCTTTTATTCAAATACTATTCGTTACAATTATAAATTGGCGCCGTGGATGTCATTCTTGTATAATACTAGCCGAATGACCCGGGCAACGCCCGTGTTTTACCCGACTGTAGATGTTACAACGGTGATCCTTAGGTCGCTGGTTCAAATCCGGCTCGAGAGAGCCGGCGAGCACGTGACCTCCCTGTGCGCGCGCATCCGTGACAGAGGCGGCCGGCCGATGAGGAATGAGGAAAGACGGTCGTGCCTATATATATTAATTAATAATAATAATAATTATCATTAGATAATGATAACGATCATAATGATGATGCGCGCGCATCCGTGACAGCGGCCGATGAGGAATTGAGGAAAGACGGTCGTGACTATATATATTAACTAGCCGAATGACCCGGGCAACGCCCGTGTTTTACCCGATTGAATGTTTTTATTCAAATACTATTTGTTACAATTATAAATTGGAGCCGTGGATGTCACTCTTGTGAAACGTCCCGCTCCAAACTTTACATGTACATTAGGTCAGCTGGTATTACCCCTCATTTTCACCGCTAGAGGCGCGAGCGAATTGACTTTTTGTAAATATACATAATTATAAAGATAGAAGCTTCTATAGAAATAAATAAAATAAGCCGAAATAGCTCAGTTAGGAGAGCGTTAGACTGAATATCTAAAGGTCCCTGGTTCGATCCCGGGTTTCGGCATCTTTTTTTAATTTTTAAATTTCTACTTACCGTAACTTGACACTTAACGTGACAGAATTGTGCATGACGCTGATAGCTGTATTGAATATAATCCAAATTGTGCCTTATCACACACTATTTATTTATTTGGATTAGGTCTTATTACCTTGTGTTTATAATCTATAATCCAAATTGTGCCTTATCACACACTATTTTTTTATTTGGCCTTATTACCTTGTATTTCAAATACTATTCGTTACAATTATAAATTGGCGCCGTGGATGTCACTCTTGTGAAACGTCCCGCTCCAAACTTTGTGTCTGAGAAGCGATATTTTTATAGAAAGATGATCTGGCTTTTGTTTTCTGCTCAAATGAATGTTTTTCTGTTAGAATTTTGTTCCTGCATACAAAATAATGAACTGGTTTCATCCGTGGTCTCTGCTTTTTGGAATTTTTCCCGATATAATTTTGTATCTGATAATCAAACATGATACAGCAATATCGTCATTATCATTTTCTGACTAAAAATATATAGTTTTAATAATTTATTTATATATTTTTTAAAATAGCCTATCGTCTTCCCCGTATTCTTTTATCTATGTATGGAAATTTTGGTTTGAATTAGTGAACTACTGCGAATTTGTATACCGGACAAACAGACAGACAAACATACAAACATTCATCCTTATCCTTATCTATATATAAAAATGAAATGCGAAATCGATGTTTGTTATCGCATCACGCAAAATCTACTGACTCAATCATTATGGAATTTCGCATGTAGGTAGCTGAAGATTTCGTTTAACATATAGGCTATTAAAAAAACTAAAAAAGTTAATGTGGTTTTTTTTTTAAAATAAAAAACCAAAAAGCGTTAGTTCCAGTCTTTTACCGCTAGGGCGCAGCACTGGTCGCGACGATAAATGAATTTGATTTTTTTAAAGCATCGGTGGTTCAGTGGTAGAATGCTCGCCTGCCACGCGGGCGGCCAGGGTTCGATTCCCGGCCGATGCATTTTTTTTTAACAATTTTTAAAACTCATTTATATCTATATATATATAAATGAATGTATGTGTGTCTGTTTGTTTGTCCTTTATGCCTGACCAAACCACTCATTGGATCGCCATGAAACTTTGGGAAGTTATTTAGTATAGTACTGGGAAGGTTTCTAGCAAATAAAATTTTTGAAATAACTTTTCGCCTAGAAATAATCAAGATAAATATTCTAATTTATTTGTTATAATTCAACAATCTGCTCTAAATATTATCATGATGATACGATGATTTTGTAATGTAGAAAATTAGGAAAGACAAAATTCAGGATTACACGGCAATTTATTTGAGACAAGAATAATGATACAATTCAAAGGCAAGATACTATTCCTTTAACTTCCAATTACCGAGGGAACCAATTAATATTGATTTTATTCAACTTATCGAGTATTTTTCAAGGGACCGGGAAATAAACCCGGGCCGCCCGCGTGGCAGGCGAGCATTCTACCACTGAACCACCGATAGTTATGAGAAATGGCCATATTTGGGTATTTATTCAATTCACAAAAGCAAACGGTGACAGAATTGATTAAGAAAGGGCAATGCCCGTGTTTTACACGATTTAATGCTTTTATTCAAATACTATTCGTTACAATTATAAATTGGCGCCTTGGATGTCATTCTTGTGAAACGTCCTGCTCCAAACTTTGTGTCTGAGAAGCGATATTTTTATAAAGAGTTGATCTTGCTTTGTGTCTTCTGCTCGAATGAATGTTTTCTGTTAGAATTTTGTTCCTGCATACTAAAATGAACTGGCTTCACCCGCGGTTTCTGATTTTTGGAATTTTTCCGGATATAATTATGTATCTGATAATCAAATATGATACAGCAATATTTTCATCATCATTTTCTGAATAAAAAAAACAACTACTTTTTTCCCAGAACCTGTCAATTTATTTTTCTTGACTAAAAATCCGAAAAATATATTTTCCAGATTTTTCTCTATGCCCTGTTAAAACGTTTACATGTCCATTAGGTCAGCTGATTTACCTCCCATCTTCACCGCTAGAGGCGCTGCTTGCGAGCGAAAGGGCAAATTTGCCACGCAACTTTCAAATATCTTTTATACATACTTGTATTCTTGTGTACATAGACCATAAATATGTACATAGCCAGGAAAAGCACATATATTTTAATAATATAAATGAGTTTTAAAAATTGTAAAAAAAAAATGCATCGGCCGGGAATCGAACCCGGGGCGCCCGCGTGGCAAGCGAGCATTCTACCACTGAACCAAAAGCAAACGGTGACAGAATTAAGAAAGAATGCATGACGCTGATAACTCTATATATTAATGATACAGCAATATTGTCATCATCATTTTCTGAAATAAAAACAACTACTTTTTTCCCAGAACCTGTCAATTTATTTTTCTTGACTAAAAATCCGAAAAATATCTTTTCCAGATTTTTCTCTATGTCCTGTTAAAACACGTTTTACATGTCCATTAGGTCAGCTGATATTACCTCCCCTCTTCACTGCTAGAGGCGCTGCTTGCGAGCGAAAGGGCAAATTTGCCACGCAATTTGCAAATAACTTGTATACATACTTGTATACTTGTGTACATAGACCATAAATCTGTACATAGACAGGAAAAGCACATATATTTTAATAATATAAATGATTTTTGAAATTGTAAAAAAAAAAAATGCATCGGCCGGGAATCGAACCCGGGGCGCCCGCGTGGCAGGCGAGCATTCTACCACTGAACCAAAAGCAAACGGTGACAGAAATAAGAAAGAATTGTGCATGACGCTGATTGTATACTAGACGAATGGCCCGGGCAACGCCCGGGTTTTACCCGAGTGCGTATATATTTTAAAAATGTTTTAATTAAAATACTATTCGTTACAATTATAAATTGGCGCCGTGGATGTCTCTCTTTTGAAACGTCCCGCCCCAAACTGTGTGTGTCTTGAAAATATAAAAATAAAAATGTGAACGGAAAAATATGTCCAGGGTAGCCTAGTGGTCATGGCATCTGCCCGGTAAGCGGAAGGTCGTGGGTTCGATTCCCATCCCTTGACACTTTTTTATTTTATCCATTCTGACCAAAATCTATCCGTGAACTTCACACAGTGAACTTTACACAGAGAGAATAAGGCAATTATATAAGTAGATAATCCAAATTGTGCCTTATCACACACTATTTTTTTATTTGGCCTTATTACCTTGTGTTTATAATCTATGACGTAATGCCGGCGGCGCGCGCCCGTTGGCTGCCGGCGGCGCGCGCCCGTTGGCTGCCGGCGAGCACGTGACCTCCCTGTGCGCGCGCATCCGTGACAGAACCGGCCGGCCCATGACGGTCGCGACTATATATATATAACTAGACGAATGGCCCGGGCAACGCCCGGGTTTTACCCGAGTGCGTATATATTTTAAAAATGTTTTAATTAAAATACTATTCGTTACAATTATAAATTGGCGCTGTGGATGTCTCTCTTATGAAACGTCCCGCCCCAAACTGTGTGTGTCTTGAAAATATAAAAATAAAAATGTGAACGGAAAAATATGTCCAGGGTAGCCTAATGGTCATGGCATCTGCCCGGTACGTGGAAGGTCGTGGGTTTGATTCCCATCCTTGACACTTTTTTTATTTTATCCATTCTGACCAAAATCTATCCGTGAACTTCACACAGTGAACTTCACACAGACAGAATAAGGCAATTATATAAGTAGATAATCCAAATTGTGCCTTATCACACACTATTTTTTTATTTGGCCGTATTACCTTGTGTTTATAATCTATGACGTAATGCCGGCGGCGCGCGCCCGTTGGCTGCCGGCGAGCACGTTACCTCCCTGTGCGCGCGCATCCATGACAGAACCGGCCGGCCCATGACGGTCGTGACTATATATAGGGATGGATGGATAATAATAATAATATAATAATAATAATAATTATTATTATTATTATTATTATTATCATTAGATAATGATAATGATCATAATGATGATGCGCGCGCATCCGTGACAGAACCGGCCGGCCGGCCCATGACGGTCGTGAGTATATATGTTGATATTAATGTAAATAATATTAAACCCAGTATTATTATCTACTCATAAAACCATTCACATACTATGATATTAGAATATATATGTAATTAATCCAGATTCCTTAGGCCTTCATTATTCATGTTTATATTTTGAACAGGATCTATCTATCATAACAATAAATACGGCGCTACATTTGTGATGAGAGGTTTTTTACAAAACAATGTCTTAGAAACGAAAATTGAAATTATACCGCGAATGTTTCTTATATAAAAATCGTAAAAGAAACATTCGCGGTATAATTTCAATTTTCGTTTTACAATCATCAGCCGCGTTATATTGTATTTTAAATGTCTTAGAAAACAATGATATTTCTAACGAAAAAATGACATCTTCTTCAACAATGAAATTTTCTACAATATCCGAGAACGATACACACCTCAACAATGATGCTTGTTACAATATCCGACAACTCTACACCAGAAAACAATGATGTTTGTTACACTACCCGACACCTATACGCAACAAGACATTGAGTCTTTTTGGTTTTAATTACAATGACTGTGGAAGTCCAAGATACCAATAATATCGAGCAGATTTATTTCTAGGGATATTTTTAATTGATTCCAGGTTGAGATTTATAATTAATAGGAGAGTGGTCGTTTAATATCTTTGTTATCAGAAAGCTGAGCAGATGAAGAGGAGATAATCCCTGTTTGGTTTGCATTCTAGCAGTTGGGGTAAATCAATCCTCTTTCAAAATTTCGTGGAGTATACTTGAGCGTGGCAATGGCCAGTTAGGATGGTTGTTGAATTGTACTCATGCTAGATTCTTATAAGCATGGAGATCAACATTCTTGGCATAAATATTTTGAGATTGCTGGTTGTATAATCCATTCCATAAGTCTATCGATAGAATGTGTGATCTAAGCTATTGTGGGCAACGCTTTATGGATATATTTTGAAAGACAGTGTATAAGTTAGAAGGTGCAGCTGGCTTAGCTCTTTGGTCTGCTAATTCATTTCCCAAAATACCGCTGTGACCGTTGACACAGCAGAGTTGAACATTGGGTGTATATTGGAGTGGACTGCATATGACAGAAGGAGTCATTTGGCAGTCTGAGGCAATTCGGAAGTTTACACCGGGTGAAATCTGGCTAGCCTTACTCGCCTAAAGAACCAGGGTTTCTTTTTCGAAGGTTGACTATTCGTGATATCAGGCGCGCATTGCGCTAGAGAAAATGCTGCGCCTATCCATTTCAAAGGGAATATAAAAATTCTATTCTATGTTTTATACCTGGCCACCACAGTCAGCTAAAAGTTTGATATTTATTACTCTTGCTTTGTAAACTATTTTAAGCGACTATACCAATATAATACTTCTATGTGGTCTGGGATTATATAAAAATCGATTACAAAAATTGAAAGGAATCATGGAATTTAGTCCATTCCCGACCACATTTTTATAGAATGATGGCCGCTCTTTACACCACAGAAACAGCTTCAATTGAAAGGAAATATGCAATTTATATTCTCTAATCTATTCCATGCCACGACGGTCACTTAGTAGTCTGAAATTTTGTAAACTTAAACTGTTAGTAGTAATGAAACAACCTATAAAATACCAGACATCTATATGGTTTAAATGTATATTAAGAACTAGATCATTATCCCGTTTTACGAGCGGGTCTATAAAGATAGTCCTTTCTAAACCTTCGTTGCTAAAATTTTACCCATTAATAATTTAAGAAGTTTTGTGACCCCTATATATAGGTATACTAGCGGAAGTGTACCCGGGTTTTATCCCGAGTGAAAGTTTGCCTACCGAATATTATTTATAATAATATTCCGGAACACACAGAATATTATGATAATAATATTCGTTACATTATATATTTATATATTACTAGCGGACGTACCCGGCTTCGCCCGGCTTTTACCCAAGTGAAAGTTTGCCAAACGAACATTTGTTAAAATAATATTTTGGCGGGAAACATCAACTTCCGACTGAAACTATTCTAGCTAAGATAAATAATATTTGTTACCCTTCTCCGCCAAACCCTCTATTAAACATAGGAAATTTTGCAAGTAGGTACCTGCATAAACCATTGGAACTGTTGCAGGTGTAGGTACCTGCATAAACCATTGGAACTGTTGCAGGTGTAGGTACCTGAATAAACCATTGGAACTGTTGCAGGTGTAGGTACCTGAATAAACCATTGGAACTGTTGCAGGTGTAGGTACCTGAATAAACCATTGGAACTGTTGCAGGTGTAGGTACCTGAATAAACCATTGGAACTGTTGCAGGTGTAGGTACCTGAATAAACCATTGGAACTGTTGCAGGTGTAGGTACCTGAATAAACCATTGCAGGTGTAGGTACCTGAATAAACCATTGGAACTGTTGCAGGTGTATGTACCTGAATAAACCATTGGAACTGTTGCAGGTGTAGGCACCTGAATAAAC